GCGCAGAGTCATAGAATCATAGAGTTGGAAGAGACCACAAGGGCCATCGAGTCCAACCCCCTGCCAAGCAGGAAACACCATCAGAGCACTCCTGACATATGGTTGTCAAGCCTCTGCTTAAAGACCTCCAAAGAAGGAGACTCCACCACACTCCTTGGCAGCAAATTCCACAGAGTAAATTCCACAGAGTCCCTCTCGGGGTCCTTCTCTCCCCTCCCCCCCCCCCCCAGGACCCCTTTACCTCTTTGTCCTCGCTCCCGATTCTCATTTCCTTTCCTGCAACATCGATGCTTTTTTGGGGGGGGTCCCCTGCCGCCCCTCCTCCCCTTTCCGAAAGGGCGCGCCCTTAGAGCTATGGCGCTGAGCGGCAATCCGGCGTAGAACAGCCACTTCCGGGAGAAGCAGGCAGTTTGGGAGGAGGCTCACCCCCCCCCCTTATTCCCGGAACAGAAGCCGGATTGGAGGAGGAGGAGGATCCTGATACTTTCAAAGGAGAAGCCCAGGAAAGCCTTGCAGCTAGGGAGATGTGTAAATACTATTATGTTTCTGAATGCCAAAGACTCCTACTTTGTGATAAATCTGTGATGCATCGAAGATGCTGTTGAAAAATGTATTGTGGGAAATGGGGAGAGGTCTTAAAAATCGATGCAACCATATGTTCAGGGTTCCTACTCTTGGTGTGTTTGAACCTTGTTGCAACAAATAAAGATCAGGTCAACTGACCGCCCTTTGCTTCTTTAACTTGGCTGGAGACTCCTCCTTTTGCTGACCGGAGGGAACCGCGGAGAGTGGCACCCTGAGGAGCTGGGCAGCGGAGTAAATCCGCACCCCGGGATATTTTCCTTCTCAACTCTTTCCCACCTGAGCCTCACCCCCTTTCCTAAAAGCCAGACACAACACAATGTGACAAGATTGTGACTCCTGCCCTCAGCAAACAAAATAGCTTTCCCCCCCCCCAGCAAAGCAACCCCGGGATGCTGAGGTCCCCCAATCCTTGAAATGAAAAGGGGGGGGGGCTCGGGAAACCTTCAGGGAGCAGGCGGGGAGGGGGCTGCCCAGGCTCCAGAAGCTCCTTCTCGCTGGTTCCTCCCCTTCGCCCTCCTGCTGCCTGCCTCCCCTCCGCTCCTAGGGCTGCTTCGCAAGTGCGGGGAAGCTGTGGCCCCTCCGCCCCCCCGAAGTTCCCTTAAAAGCCCCACGTTGCAGGGGGCAGGCTCACCTGCAGCGAAACAAAACGCAGCTGCCCTGGCAGAGTGGAGCCAGGCTGGGGCGCACCTTTGGGACCCCAGAAATGTGTCCCTAGAAGAAATGCGCCTCCCCAGTCGGGGAAAACCCCCTTCTCTGGGGCTCAAGTGCTGCCGGTGGGCTTCCCAGAAGAAGCCCCTGCTTGGCCCCTGGGAGGACAGGGGCCCCTTGGGCCTGATCCTGCAGGGCTCACCTGATGTTCTGATGCAAGTGAACCCTCCTTTGTCCTTCAGGGAGAACAGGATTTCCCAAATTTGGGTCTCCAGCTGTTTTTGGACTACAGCTCCCATCACCCCGAGCTAGCAAGACCATTGTTCAGGGATGATGGGAATTGTAGTCAGGCCCTCCAGGTGGCTCTGGCAAGTGAGCCCAGCTGCAAGTGACAAGGGTGGGTGGGGGATTACTTCCTGGTGTTATGGCAATTACAGGGGAGGGGGTTACCATCTGACATTATCCCCTGCGACGAGGAACCCCAAACCCCTCTCCCCTCAGTCGCAGAAGCACGGCTCACACATCTTATAAATACAGGAAAACACTTTCTCTTCATTTTAAGAATGGGATTTACGGACTTTGTGTTTTATGAATGGGATTTATGAATAACCGAAGCTCACCAATCAAGAGCGCTATGTTTTGACAGCTAGCCAATGGGGGAATCCGTAGACGGCTGAAACCTCCTCCAAACCAGCCTTTCAGCTCAGCCTGCGCACAATTGTCTCAGCGCCCTCCTGCTGCTCAGACTATGGGCAAAGTATATTAAATATAGCCATTTTGGTTTTGATTTCCTAAAGTTGCTACAATGTTACAAGGATTTTCTGAATGTATCCTTTCAGCTTGACAGCTCAGGGAATGATACCTAAATTTGTAAATACATATAAAATCCATACTTCAACCGATACTTCCCATTCCTGCGCCGTTTTAACTCTTAAGAAAAAGTAAATTTAGGCTTCCCCCTCCTCCATGACCCTGGAAGGGAATAGTCACGTAGGCAGCAAGAACAGGGCCTCCTGCCATAATCCCCCGAGCATGAGAGCACGTACACTTCGCCCCACCCAGGGAGTGACCAAGGGGCGACAACAGACTTCCACAGAGGCAGTTGACCAACCCAGGTGTTCTGAAAGCCCATCTCAGGAGAAGCCCTGAGGGCAAGCATGTAATTTGATTCTGTATTGATTTTAGAATGAATTGATTTTAGAATGTATTTCAATTAATTGTGATTTTATGCAAACTGTGTTACTTTTACTGTTGTTAGCAGCTCTGAGCCTGGCTTTGGCTGGTGAGGGTGGGATATAAATATATTTTATTTTATTCATTATTATTATTATATAATAATACATAATAATATTACAGTGGTACCTCGGGTTACAGACGCTTCAGGTTACAGACTCTGCTAACCCAGAAATAGTACCTCGGGGTAAGAACTTTGCTTCAGGATGAGAACAGAAATTGTGCGGTAGCGGGAGGCCCCATTAGCTAAAGTGGTACCTCAGGTTAAGAACAGTTTCAGGTTAAGAACAGACCTCCGGAACGAATTAAGTTCTTAACTCGAGGTACTACTGTATTATGTCGATAGTTTTATTGTTCTTTGGGTGATGGCTACTGGAGAGGTGTCCAGAGATGTATCTGATAGAGTGACCAACTGTTGCACTTGTGTAACCCTTTGATACCCCTCCTATTTGTGACATACTAGTGAAGATGCTACTTGAAAAGTATTCTGGGTGAAGGGGAAAGTTTTAAAAGTCGATGTAAATTGTCCAGGGTTGCTCAAACAAAGAGAGATGCAAGGAGCTCCAAAAAGCTCTCTCCAAAAAGGGTGAATGGGCAGTAAATACAGTTCACTGTCAACGAGATTAAAGGGATGCATGTTGGGACAAAAAAACACAAACACCTGTTAATATCATGTGCAGGATCATGGGGTCTGAACCGGGTTTCTCCGTGTGCTCTAGGAGACCAGGGGAGAGGGGAGGATCTGAGCCTTCTTCCTTTGTGGGTCCCCAGCTGGTGCCCCCTGCACCCTTCCCCTCCATGACAGCAACAGCAGCAACAACAGTAACATCAGTAAGATAGCAATATGCACTGTGGTCCTCTGGCAGGAAGACTCCCTAGCAGCATGATTGACTAATAACCTCTGGGACTATGGAAAAATATTATCCTCCCCAAACCCCAGAATAAGCAGTAGCTCTGGGGTTCCCCTATGTGGTTCATGAGAGAAGATGGGCCCCCCAGGAGACTTTCCTGGTACCTGCAACCCATCCTTCCCCCTCTTGCAATTAGGCGGCGGGGGGGGGGGAATCTCCCATTAAATTTTAAGTTTTCTTCAGAATGTGCAGGGGGCAGGGATGAAGTTATGTTGAATAAGTAGCGTTTGGAGATCATGCAGTGGTGGGGGTGACAGAGTTTGGTGTAAAAACCAGTCTGACACACAAATACCCATCTTGCATGCGTGAGTACAGCAACTCCAGGGCCTTAGCGAAGCATCGGTGGGGTAGGGGCCACATGTAGAGCAAGTCCCACACTGATGTCAAAAACACACACAGAAGCAGCAGGAATTCTTCAGTAATAGTTTACTGAGCTTTCAAAGCATACAGTTCTCACTGGGTCCACAGTGAGGCACAAAACTTAGCTCCTGAGAGCAAATCCAGTTTCAGCAGTAAAAAAATACAGCACACAGGATATCTAAGTCAGGCACACACACCGGCAGAAGGGAGCAAGGGAGGAAAGAGGCTGGAAGGACACAGGGCAATGGAGGTGTGTCTTTCGCTTCCTGTCGTCTTGGAGGGAGGTCAGCAACTCTGCATCTGCAGGGGGTTCACAAAGCAGAGCTTTCTGCCGCTGCTTCCAGGCACATCCCAGAAACACACACTATGATTCACGGTGTATTGCCATATCAATTGTTTTTCAAAGATTATCACGATGTGGTCTAAAAACCGGTATTGGACAAGATATCAATATATAGCTCAGCCCTAATCCTCACTCATCACCCGCAATCCAGATTCACCCTCTCCCCCTCACTATCAAAAGGTACTTTAAATCTAAAATTATTCTCATGATTGTGAGACATTACCTTCATTATTTCATTACTATACCGTTTTACATATAAACACCAGAACTTCACATACGCATCATGCATTTAAGACTGATTTCCTGCTGAGTTCAGTTCTCTGAAGAAATGAGTGAACACTGAAAGGAACACGTCCCGCACGCCATACATATAAATGGGTTCTTCCTTGTGAGAGTCCCTGGATGTTCCTTAAACACTCCATTATAAATAAAGCACTTTTTGCAATCTTTTGATTTAAACTGCTTCTCAAACCCCAGAATAAGCAGGTTGACCCATGGGGTTCATGAGTGAAGATGGGCCCACCAGGCGACTTCCCTGGTACCTGCAGCCCCATATTCCCCCTCTTGAACTTAGGCTTTGGGGGGAAATCTCCCATTGAATTTCAGTATTTCAAGTTTTCTTCAGAACACACGGGGGCAGGGATGAGGTTCTGTTGAAGAAGAAGTGTTTGGAGATCATGTAGTGGTGGGGGTGACAGAGTTTGGTGCAAAAACCATCTTGTGTGCTTGAGTACAGCAACTCCAGGGCATGAGCTAAGTAGCAGCAGGGTAGGGGCCATGTGTAGAGCAAGTGCCACACTGAGGTCAAAAAGATACACAAAGGCAGCAGGACTTCTTCAGTAATAGTTTACTGAGCTTTCAAAGGCTACAGTTATGACTGGGACCCCAGTGAGGCACAAAACTTAGCTCCTGAGAACAAATCATTCATATGGTTTCTCCCCTGTGTGAGTCAGTTGATGCACGCTGAGGTGTCCACTCTGACTGAATTTCCTTCCGCACTCCATGCAATTAAATGGTTTCTTCCCTGTGTGAGTCTGTTGATGTCTTCTAAGGGTTCCATTATCACGAAAGCTCTTTCCGCACTTCATACATTCATATGGTTTCTCCCCCGTGTGAGTCCGTTGATGTATATTGAAGTTTCAACTCCTAAAGTTCTTCCTGTCCGTGAGTCTGTTGAGTTAGAACTTCAGCTAGGATTGAAACTCTACCTATTTTCCTGATATTTAGACAGTTTGTGTTTTGTGTGAGTTTGTTCGCATAAATCAAGGGTTCCACTCTGACTGGAGCTCCTTCCACAGTCCATACATTTAAGCAGTTTCTCCCTGTGTGTCTGCTGATGTTTTCTAAGTTTTCCACTCTGACTGAAGCTCATTCCGCACTCCATGCATTTATATGGTTTCTCCCCTGTATGAGTCCGTTGATGTGTTCTAAGGTTTCCGTTATGATGAAAGCTCTTTCCGCACTCCATGCATTTATATGGTTTCTCCCCTGTGTGAGTCCGTTGATGTATATTGAGGTGTCCATTCTGACTGAAGCTCTTTCCACACTCCATACATTTATATGGTTTCGCCCCTGTGTGAGTCCGTTGATGTGTTCTAAGGTTTCGGTTATCATGAAAGCTCTTTCCGCACTCCATGCATTTATATGGTTTCTCCCCTGTGTGAGTCCGTTGATGTATATTGAGGTGTCCATTCTGACTGAAGCTCTTTCCACACTCCATACATTTATATGGTTTCGCCCCTGTGTGAGTCCGTTGATGTGTTCTAAGGTTTCCGTTATCATGAAAGCTCTTTCCGCACTCCATACATTTATAGGGTTTCTCCCCTGTGTGAATTCGTTGATGTTTTCTAAGGCTTCCATTATCACTAAAACCGTTTCCACACTCCATACATTTATATGGTTTCTCCCCTGTGTGAATCCGCTGGTGTAATTTAAGGTCTCCATTCTGACTGAAGCACTTTCCACAATCCAGGCATTCAAATGGTTTCACCCCTGTGTGAGTCCGTTGATGTATACTGAGGTGTCCACTCTGACTGAAGCTCTTTCCACACTCCATGCATTTATATGGTTTCTCCCCTGTGTGAATCCGCTGGTGTAATTTAAGTACTCCATTCCGACTGAAGCTCTTTCTGCACTCCATACATTTATATGGTTTCTCCCCAGAATGAGTCCGTTGATGTTTTCTAAGGTTTCCATGATCAGTAAAGCTCTTTCCGCACTCCATACATTCATATGGTTTCTCCCCTGAATGAGTCCGTTGATGTATTCTAAGGTTTCCACTGAAACTGAAGCTCTTTCCGCACTCCATGCATTTATATGGTTTCTCCCCTGTGTGAGTCCGTTGATGTATATTGAGTTGTCCATTCTGACTGAAGCTCTTTCCACACTCCATACATTTATATGGCTTCTCCCCCGTGTGAATCCTTTGATGTTTTCTAAGGTTTCCACTGACACTGAAGCTCTTTCCGCACACCATACATTTAAATGGTTTCTCCCCTGTGTGGGTCCGTTGATGTGTTCTAAGCTTTCCATTATCACTAAAGCTTTTTCCGCACTCCATACATTTAAATGGTTTTCCCCTGTGTGAGTCCGTTGATGTATGTTGAGGTGTCCACTCTGACTGAAGCTTTTCCACACTCCATACATTTAAATGGTTTCTCCCTGTGTGAGTCCGCTGGTGTAAACTTAAGTATCCATTCAGACTGAAGCTCTTTCCACAATCCAGACATTTAAAAGGTTTTTCCCCTGTGTGAAACTGTTGATGTAAACTTAAGTGTCCATGTTGACTGAAGTTCTTCCCACACTCCCTGCATTGGAATTCTTTTTTTGCCCATGTGAGTCCGCTGATGTGTTCTAAGTTTTCCACTATCAGTGAAACTTTTCCCACACTCCATACCTTTAAATGGTTTCTCCCCTGCTGGAGTTTGTTGATGTGAACTATGTGTGCTCATTCAATGAAGCATATTCTGCATTTCACACATTTTAATTTCTATTCCTAATGATACGAAAGGTGCCCCATTCCCTGGGGTTTGAAGTGTCTTCTCCATCTCCTTCTTCAGAGTGGGAGGAAAGGGAATCCTGTTTGGGTTTCAAGGAAGAGAACTAAGGGAAAGAGAACACATCAAGCTCCATTAGCACCTTCTCCTATTTCAACATCTCCTACATTCCCTCACCTCCTACCCATGTTCCCAATTTTGAGAAAATGAAGTTGCAATGTCATCAAATGATAGTAATTCATGAGCAACTTTCAAATTCCTCAATCAATGTTAATAAAGCAGCATGATTTTTAAAGAATGATGTGCTGTCTGATCTCGTGCCCGTCTTCTGATGCAGGCCTATCCTAAAATGACCGTTAAAAGCAAGATATTCAAGGCAAATAGATAAACTGTACTTAGTGGAATGTGTAGTACCTTGAAAATGTAGTATTGATTCACGAATGGATAGGAGTTGTGTTATTTCTGGGGACATGAATTTATTCCTGTCCTGTCTTAAAGATCATAATCATACGATGTCATGGGGTGTTAGGGGAGCGTTAGTACCTTTGGTAGGGGACATTGTCGTGCACCTTTTGGGGTAATCTATCCACCATTGGTCCCCATCCTGCAGTCAGCTCTCACCTGTGGCTTCCAGAAGCTGTCAGGATGGAATAGGGGCCACAATCCCAGGAACGGCTTCAACCGGCTGGCAAAACCAGGTGAGGATACCTGATGGGTCTCAAATCATTGGTGTGTTAGGGAATTCTGCTGCAGGTGAAGAAAGGACCTGGTGGATGTAGAGGATGAGAACAACAGTGAATCCCACAGTCAAGAAGGCAGATTCTGCCCATTCTGCAGGGGAAAGTGAGGGCAGATGGGGCTCGTCAACCAGGGAAGGGAGCTCCTTGAAAAGGAAAACTCTGGTCGTAATACTTTGGTGCACTCCCTCACTTCCTCTTGTTTGTTTGTTTTTTAAATGATATTTATTAAAATTTCAGAAAAAAGAATTACACAAAAACATGAAAAGTAAAAACAAAAAACAGAAGTAAAAATTCAAGAAAAATACAAAATACAAAGTACAGAATACAAGAATAAAAAACACTTAAAGAAGAAAAAAAGAAAAATAGATCAATTTTTCCATACCTTACATTCATATCCTTGTTTCCTTGACCTCCTCATACCTCCCTTTTTTGTATTCCAGTTCAATTAGTTAATTCAGCAATTTCTTTCCCTCTTTATTTTCTCATGATCCTTTAGCTTAATATACTATGACTTTAAATTTTCACCTGTTATCAATCCTTTTTTACATAAACCTTTATAGCATTACTGCTTAAACCACCTAACTTCATTCTAACATCATTCTAACATTCATTAATTTTGCAATATTTCTGTAGATAGTCTTTAAATTTCATCCAATCTTCTTCCACCGACTCTTCTCCCTGGTCTCGGATTCTGCCAGTCATTTCCGCCAATTCCATGTAGTCCATCACCTTCATCTGCCATTCTTCCAGAGTGGGTAGGTCTTGTGTCTTCCAATACTTTGCAATAAGTATTCTTGCTGCTGTTGTGGCATACATAAAGAAAGTTCTGTCCCTCTTTGGCACCAATTGGCCGCCTATGCCCAGGAGAAAGGCCTCTGGTTTCTTCAAGAAGGTATATTTAAATACCTTTTTCAATTCATTATAGATCATCTCCCAGAAGGCCTTAATCCTTGGGCACGTCCACCAAAGGTGAAAGAATGTACCTTCAGTTTCTTTACATTTCCAACATTTCTTATCGGGCAAATGATAGATTTTTGCAAGCTTGACTGGGGTCATGTACCACCTGTATATCATTTTCATAATATTCTCTCTTAGGGCATTGCATGCCATAAACTTCATACCTGTGGTCCATAACTGTTCCCAGTTAGCCATCATTATGTTATTTCCAACATCTTGTGCCCATTTAATCATAGCTGATTTCACCGTTTCATCCTGAGTATTCCATTTCAACAGCAAGTTATACATCTTTGACAAAATCTTAGTTTTGGGTTCTAACCGTTCTGTTTCTAATTTTGATTTCTCCACCTGGAAGCCAATTTTCTTATCCAAATTATATGCCTCCATTATCTGATAATAATGAAGCCAATCTCGCACTTTGTTTTTAATTTCTCAAAGCTCTGCAGTTTCAGTCTATCTCCATCTTGTTCCAAAATTTCCCAATATTTCGGCCATTTGACCTCCATATTGAGCTTTTTCTGAGCATCCAAATACATTGTTAAACCCTTCTAAATCCAAAATGTCTGTGTTTTCAAGAAGCAGCCATTCTTTCAACCAGCAAAAAGCTGCTGATTCATAGTAAAGTTTAAAGTCTGGCAGGGCAAATCCACCTCTTTCCTTTGCATCTGTTAGTATTTTAAATTTTATTCTAGGCTTCTTGCCCTGCCAAACAAATCTAGAAATATCTCTCTGCCACTTCTTGAAACAGCCCATTTTGTCCACAATTTGCAATGTTTGAAATAAAAACAACATTCTAGGTAATACATTCATTTTTATCGCAGCAATACAACCCAGCAGTGAAAGCTTCAAATTTGACCAAATTTCTAAATCTTTTTTCACTTCAGCCCAGCATTTTTCATAATTGTCTTTAAATAAATTCCCATTTTTTGCTGTCAAGTTAATCCCCAGGTATTTCACTTTCTTAACCACTGTTAAACCTGTCTCATTCTGAAACCTCTCTCTCTCAATCGGTGTTAAGTTCTTCTCTAAAACCTTGGTTTTTAACTTATTCAGTTTGAATCCTGCAACCTGACCAAATTCCTGAATCAGTTCTAAAACCCTTTTGGTACTAGATTCTGGCTCCTGTAACGTCAATGCTAAGTCATCTGCAAATGCTCTCAATTTGTACTGTTTGGCTCCAACTTGTATACCTTTAGCCAACTCGTCCCTTCTAATCATATTCAGCAAAACCTCCAGGACTGATATAAAAAGCAATGGGGAGATTGGGCAACCTTGTCGTGTCCCTTTTTCTATCTTAAATTCTTCCGTCACCACATTATTTACAATTAATTTAGCCTTTTGTTCTGAATATATTGCACTTATACCGTTTTCAAAGCCTTGGCCTACCCCCATACCCTGTAAGTTCTTCTTCATAAAACTCCAAGAAATGTTGTCAAAAGCTTTCTCCACGTCCACAAATATTAAAACTGCCTTAGTATTTATATTCACTTGTAATTTTTCTAAAATATTGATTATGTTTCTCACATTATCAGATAGATGTCTACCCGGGAGAAAGCCTGCTTGGTCTTTATGTATCTCTTCCACTAACACTCTTTTTAGTCTTTTAGCCAAGATGTCTGCAAAAATTTTGTAATCCACATTGAGCAATGATATGGGGCGGTAGTTCTTAAGCTGCGTCTTTTCAGTCTCTGTTTTCGGTACAAGTGTGATGCCCCAGGGATGCTCCCCCTCCCCACTTCCTCGACTCCCTCCCTCTGTCCCAGAGTCTCCCCTGTACCCAGAGGCCCCCCTTGGCGTGGCTCACCCCACGCCCTGCGCCCCCCCCATCTCTCCGTCCGGAGCCCCCCCCCCAAAGACGAGCGGGGGAGGGACAGGAGGGTCTCTATCCAGGCGTCCCTCACGCCCGTTAACCCTTTCATGGCCCACCTCTCTCCGCGCGGAACCCACAGAGTCCCAGGGATGCCTGCGCGGGGAAATGGGGCGAGGGGGCTTCATTGGGATCCCCTGGGTGGGCTTCCTAAGGGTCCAAGGAAAACCCCTTCGCAGAACGCGTGCTGGGATCCAGATCCACGAAAGGCGTTTTGGGGAGCTGGAGGAGGTCTCTGGATCCTTCTCTCGCCTCCCACCCGAGACCCCTTTACCTCTTTGTCCTCGCTCGCGATTCTCCTTTCCTTTCCCTTCCTGCAACATCCACGTGGGGGGGGATTTACCTGCCGCCCCTCCTCCCCTTTCCGAAAGCGCGCGCCCCTAGAGCTGCGGGGCAGAGCAGCAATCCGGCGCAGAAGCTCCACTTGCGGGAGAAGCAGGCAATTTGGGAGGGGGCTCTTTCCCCCCTCCCCCCTCCCGGAACAGAAGTCGGATGGCGAGGAAGAGGAAAAGGAGGAGGAGCTGCAACGTATGGGGGCGGAATTTGGGGTTGTGGGGGCGAGGTGAGAGAAGGATGTGCCGGGAGGAGCGGAGGAATGGGGGGAGAGAGGAAGGTTTCCCCCTCCCTTCTTCCTTCTGGGGATCAGGAGAGCGGGGGAGGGGCTGATCCCGGCAATCCACTTGCAAAGTGGGGTCTCGCACCCCAAAATGTTTACATTGCAAAATCCCTCCCTCCCCCACCCCACGCCACGAGATTAGATCCATCCGTGTTTTAGGTACTGGTGTACATTGAGCAGCGGCTTGGACTCTGTGACTCCTGTGTTAAGGGAAAAAATGGGGCTTTGGCATTTGCGCACACAGCCCCGACACCCAGGTAAAATTCATGCAAGGAGTGAAGCAGCCCAGAACTAAAGCGCGTTGGAATTTGTACATCCTCAGATAGTTTTTTTTCACCTCCTCCTTCCTTGCAGAGAAACATTTGGTCAGTCAAAATGATTTCAGGACTGTCTTCCTGTGCTGCTTCGGACAGGTGGTTTATATATTTATGTACGTGTTTGCTTGGTACAGTTATGAACATTTATTATATATCTAAGACATTAAAATTCTTATAACAGAAACCACCCCCACCACTCCCCACAGGCAACAACAGGCTCCCAGCTCTGTGTATGTCTATGTATTTTATTGTCTCTATCTCTTTTTGTGTGCTTTGCGTTGAGAATTGTGTTTCCAGCTCAGCCAAGCGAGCTGGGGCTGGAGGGCCAGCTGTGAGTCCGACTCAGTGTGTGTGAGACAGTGAGTGTGGGAACCCCACCCCCATGCAACAACAGGCTCCCAGCTCTGTGTATGTCTATGTATTTTATTGTCTCTATCTTGGCCAAGGGGGACTGATGCTGTGAGGAAACAGGAGATTTCTCACTTTGTGTTTTGCTTGAAGGCTCCTGCAACATGTCGGAAGGGCACGGAGTCCCCCTTGGGTAACAACTTAAGCAGGAGCTCATAATGGGGGCGGGGTTCCCCACACTCACAGGAGGAATGGACTCCATTACAAGGCATGGTGAATAATTTAGGCAAATTCGAGCGCAAATACGGTGGAGCGATGAACCCCAAACGACTGAGAACTCCCTGCGGACAGCCCCACCCCCCGGGCTCGTAGGACCTGGACCTAACCAACCAGGTTTTTGAAGCGTGACAAAACACCCTGGATGTTCGGAGCAGTTTGCATACGCAGACTCCTGGGGACCGGTGCTGACAGAGAGCCTACATGGCTACAGAAGTTGAAAGGACAGTATTGTACCTCTCTGATGGTGCAGTGGGCACTGGAGGAGGCAAAAGTCATCAAACCCCAAAAGAAAGAGCACTTTTCCAGAGGAGAGGAGAAAATGAAAGAACCGACCTGGCCCCCAATGGTTCCCACTCTTACAGAATGGGGGGGGCATATAAACAGAGTTTACTCCCGAGTAAACCTCGTAGGGCCTGAGACGATAATCTCAAGAGAACCCCACTGTACAAGGGCTCCCCTCGTCCTGTCACAACGTTGCACCAAGCACCGCACAAAAACCCAACATTCCAAGAATAAAGCGCCATTTGTGACCGCGTATCCCAGTGCTATATACAGGCGAGCAGTATGAATGATGTATTTTATGAATGGACAATTTATTTGCATGAGGATGCATCCTGACCAATCAAATCGCGACAAATCTAGTACGTCAGCCAATCCCAGCAATGGTATGGCTCCGCAGGAGCTGCTCAGCGCAGCTATCTTGCACTATTCAATGAGCGCTGACAAGGTGACAACAGCTCCTGCTGAGAGAACAATGGACTAAGTTCATCGAAACCTCGTTACCTTGTAATCCACTCATAAAACTGGATCCAATGTAGCGAGGCCAAGTCGGGTCATTTCCGAACCCACTGTCTGTATTGTGAATAGCCAAAAACGCTTAGAAATTCATAGGAAATCACTGGTTTCAACGATTCTCTTCATTCCACCGCCAATTTGCTTCATTGGCTAAGGGCTTGGAAACCACTCTGTCCCCGCCATAATCCCTCCAGCAGGAGGTCACGTACTCACAGGAAGGTACTCATAGGTGTCGATCGCTGGGCAAAAGCTCTCCTCCGGACTTGCCCAGGTGCCAGACTATGCAAACCAAAGTTCTATTGTTGTTTTGCAGTAGGTGCTTAGAATGTACCTTCCCAATACATATCCTGTATTTGCCTGTTACCCTGAGACATTCCTCCTATGTGAATCATGTATAACCCTCCCTTTTCTGATGTAGTGATGATGTAGCAATGATGTAGTGATGATGCTCCACAAACTGTATGCTGGGATAAGATGGAAACTTTTAAAAGTCCTTGTCACCCCATCCTCGGGGTTCAATTCCTCTTTCAACCTGTTGCGCAATAAACTTTGGTCTACAGCTATTTGCTCCGGTTGGTGGCCGGACTCCTTCCTTTATTCCGCAGGGACCCACGGGCTCTGCCTGATGAGCTGGGTGGCTGAGCAGCCTTGCACCTGGGCCCCACCCCAGTAACCACCAAATTAGCCTTTTATTGAACAGACCTAGGAGTTTTGATAACCTTTGGGGGCATACAACACTCAGACTCCAGATCTTTTTCCCTTGGGGGTTCCCATGCTGATGCCTCCCCACTTTTCACCCAGCCAGTCCATGACAGCAACAGCAGCAACTACAGTAAAATCAGTACGATAATAATATGCACACTGGTCCTCTGGCAGGAAGAATAATAACTTCTGGGACTATGGAAAAGTACTATCTTCCCCAAATCCCAGAATAAGCAGTAGATCTGGGGTTGCCCCATGGGGTTCATGAGTGAAGATGGGACCCATCAGGAGACTTCCCTGGTACCTGCAGCCCCTCCTTCCCTCTCTTGCAATAAGGCTTGGGGGAAAATCTCCCATTAAATTACAGTATTTTAAGCTTTCTTCTGAATGTGTAGCAGACAGGGAGAGGTTCTAGTGAAGAAGCAGTGTTTGGAGATCACACGTGGTGGGGTTGAGAAAGTTTGGTGCAAAAACCAGTCACACACATATGCACCAATTTTTCATGCTTGAGTACAGCAGTTTCAGCAGTAAACAAATACAGCACACAGGATATCTAAGTCAGGAACACAAACCGGCAGAAGGGAGCAAGGGAGGAAAGAGGCTGGAACGACGCAGAGCAATGGAGGTGTGTCTTTCGCTTCCTGTCGCCTGGGAGGGAAGTCAGCCACTCAGCATATTCAGGGGCTTCACGAAGCAAAGCTTTCTGCCAGCAGCTTCTAGGCAAATGAGCATCCTGGAAACACACACTGTGATTCTTGGTGTGTTGCCATATCAATTGTTTTTGAAAGGTTATCATGATGTGGTCTAGAAACCAGTTTGGACAATATATCGCCCAGCCCTAATCCCCACTCACCACCAACAATCCAGACAAACCCTCTCCCCTTCTCTATCAAAAGGTACTTTACATCTTAGATCATAATCACATTGTTTGACATTGCCTGCAATATTTTATTACGATAGAGTTTTACACATAAAAAACCAGAACTTCACATACACAACATGTGTTAAAGACTGATTTCCTCCTGAGTTCATTTCTGTGAAGAAAAGAGTGGACTCTGAGAGGAAGACATCCAACACTCCATACATCTAAATGGGTTCTTACATCTGAGAGTCTCTGGATTTTCCTTAAACACTCCACTGTAAATAAAGCACTATTGCAATCTTTTCATTTAAACTGCTTCTCCTCTTTGAGTCTGTTGATGGTTTGTAGGGTTTCAACTCCAAAGGTTCTTCCTGTCCGTGAATCTGTTGATTTAGAATTTCCACCAAGACTGAACCTCTATCTACTTTCCTGATATTTATAAGGTTTGTGTTTTGTGTGAGTTTGTTCACATAAATCAAGGGTTCCACTCTGACTGGAGCTCCTTCCACAGTCCATACATTTAAACAGTTTCTCCCCTGTGTGTCTGCTGATGTTTTCTAAGATTTCCATTCTGACTGAAGCTCTTTCCGCACTCCAGGCATTTAAATGATTTCTCCTCTGTGTGAGTCTGTTGATGTATATTGAGGTGTGCACTCTGACTGAAGCACTTTCCGCACTCCATGCATTTAAATGATTTCTCCCCTGTGTGAGTCCGTTGATGTTTTCTAAGGTCTCCATTCTCACTGAAGCACTTTCCGCACTCCAGGCATTTAAATGGTTTCTCCCCTGTGTGAGTCCGTTGATGTTTTTTAAGGGTTCCATTATCACTAAAGCTCATTCCGCACTCCATGCATTTAAATGGTTTCTCCCCTGTGTGAGTCCGTTGATGTTTTTTAAGGACTCCATTCTGACTGAAGCTCTTTCCGCACTCCAGGCACTTAAATGGTTTCTCCCCTGTGTGAGTCCGCTGGTGTATATTGAGGTGTGCACTCTGACCGAAGCACTTTCCGCACTCCATGCATTTAAATGGTTTCTCCCCCGTGTGAGTCCGTTGATGTTTTCTAAGGTCTCCATTCTCACGGAAGCACTTTCCGCACTCCAGGCATTTAAATAGTTTCTCCCCTGTGTGAGTCCGTTGATGAATTCTAAGGGTTGCATTGAAACTAAAGCTCTTTCCGCACTCCATGCATTTAAATGGTTTCTCCCCAGTGTGAGTTTGTTGATGTCTTGTAAGTGTTGCATTCTCACTAAAGCTCTTTCCGCACTCCAGGCATTTAAATGGTTTCTCCCCTGTGTGAGTCCGTTGATGTATATTGAGGTGTCCACTCGGACCAAAGCACTTTCCACACTCCATGCATTTAAATGGTTTCTCCCCCGTGTGAGTCCGTTGATGTATATTGAGGTGTCCACTCTGACTGAAGCACTTTCCGCACTCCATGCATTTAAATGGTTTCTCCCCCGTGTGAGTCCGTTGATGTTTTCTAAGGTCTCCATTCTCACTGAAGCTCTTTCCACACTCCATACATTTATATGGTTTCTCCCCTGTGTGAATCTGTTGATGTCTTCTAAGGTTTCCACTGATACCGAAGCTCTTTCCACACTCCAGGCATTTAAATGGTTTCTCCCCTGTGTGAGTCCATTGATGTATATTGAGGTGTTCACTCTGACTGAAGCTCTTTCCGCACTCCATACCTTTAAATGGTTTCTCCCCTGTTGGAGGTCGTTGATGTGAACTATGTGTGCTCATTCAATGAAGCATATTCCACATTTCACACATTTTAATGTCTAATGAAAGGAAAGGTGCCCCATTCACTGGAGTTTTGACTGTCTTCTCCATCACCTTCTTCAGAGTGGGAGGAAAGGAAATCCTGTTTGGGTTTCAAGGAAGAGAACTAAGGGAAAGAGAACACATCAAGCTCCATTAGCACCTTCTCCTACATTCCCCCACCTCCTACCCATGTTCCCAATTTTTAGGAAATGAAGTTGCAATGTCATCAAATGATAGTAATTCATTAGCAACTTTCATAATCCTCAATCAATGTTAATAAAGCAGCATGATTTTTAAAAGAATGTGCTGTCTGATCTCGTGCCCGTCTTCTGATACAGAACTATCCTAAAATGACACTTTAAAGGCGATATTCAAGGCAAATAGATAAACTGTACTTAGTGGAATATGTAGTACCTTGAATAAGTAGTATTAATTTATTTATGGCCTGAAGATGTGATATTTCTAGAGATGAATTTATTCCGGTTCTGTCTCAAATATCATAATCATACGATGTCTTGGGGTGTTAGGAGAGCATTAGTTCCTTTGGTGGGGGTCATGTCATGCTCCTTATGGGGTATTCTATCCATCAATGGTCCCCAACCTGCACTCAGTTCTCACCTGTGACTTCCAGAAGCTGTCAGGATAGAATAGGGGCCACAAGCCCAGGAACGGTTTCAACCGGCCGGCTAAACCAGGTGAGAATAGCTGATGGGTCTCAAATCCTTGGTGGGTTGGGGAATTCTGCTGCAGGTGAAGGCAGGCCCTGGTGGATGGAGAGGAGGAGAACAACAGTGAATCCCACAGTCAAGAAGGCAGATTCTGCCCATGCTGCAGAGGAAAGTGAAGGGCAGATGTGACTGTCAACCTGGGAAGCGAGGTCCTCGAGAAGGAAAACTGTGGTCCTAAACCTTCGCTGCCTGGTTTTCTTCAGGAGAAGAGAAGTCTCTAAGAGGGTTGGATGGTGTCCTGCACACCTCCTTCCAGCCACTCCTGCAGCCAAGCTGGTGCCTAACGTACTGCTCTGCTTTCCTTGGGACCATATAAGCCAGGCTGAGAAGGGGCTCTTGTTGTCTAGGCAGCCCTGAACCCCCAAACACACTGTCCACACTTGCTGTACTGCTAACACAGCAGTTTCAGGGGGAGCGATGAGCTCAGACCTGTGTATCAAAATCTCTCCAATGTGGAATATGTAAAACAGAAGTGCTGTTTATATCATACATCAATTAAAAAGTATTCAGAATAGTTGTCTTTTGAAGAAAAGGCCACCAAGTATCCGATGGCCCCTTCAAAGCTAATGAAAGTCTTGTGCTTGGAGCTTTTGGGGGTGCAGGACCAGAAAAGCTTCTGCCACCATTATCCTTCCAATTGGGATTCAGGCCTCATCATACGACAGAAACTACCCTGGTTGCGCTGGTTGATGATCTCCAATAGGCTAGAGACCAAGGGCAAAGCTCTTTCCTGGTTCTGCTGGATCTCTGCTTTGGAGACCTTTGACCATGGTATCCTTCTGGACCCTCTAGGGGAGCTGGGGGCACTGCTGTGCAGTGGTTCCCATCCTTCCTCCTGGGCCATGTCCAGAAAGTGGTGTTGGGGGATGAGTGTTCAGGCCCCTGGGTGCTCACTTGTGGGGTGCCTCAGGGCTCCGTCCTCTCCCCATGCTTTTTAATATCTATATGAAGCCGCTGGGGGAGTTTTGGCTGGTGTTCACACGCATGTGGATGATACTCAGCTCTTCTCTTTTAAATTGGAACCAGTGAAGATGAACCAGTGAATGCCCTGTGTTGGTGCCTGTAGGTGGTTTGAGGATAGATGGTGGCTAACAGATTGAGGTTGAATCCTGACAAGACGGAAGCACTGTCCCTGTGGGACAGGTGGCAGGCAGACCCTACCAGCCTGCAGACTGTCTCACTAAAGTGGTGCATTCTCTGGTTCTTTCCTGCTTGGACTACTGCCATGCGCTCTATATGGGGCTACCTTTGAAACTGCAACTAATCCAGAATGCAGCAGCTGGACTAGTAACTGGGAGCAGCCGCCAAGACCACATTTCATTGGTCCTAAAGGATCTTCTCTGGCTTCCAGTGTGTTTCCAAGCACAATTCACACTGTTGGTGCTGACCTTTAAGTGTCATGGCTGCATTTTTCAGAAAAAGAAAAGTGTTGATCTAATGTATACAGATCATTCTTGGTCTATTGGTTCAAGAAGGTTCTGGTGGTTTTACTCTGTGTGATTCAAAGTGGTGTTTTCTCTAGCTGGAACATTTTAGCTGATAAGGGAGTTTCCTTTCTGCTGAGAGCAGGTGGTGGGATCAGTTCTTATGAGGTTATGCTGAACCTTCTTGTCTTTGGGAACCAGAAGAAGCTGGTTTAAACTGGAGTGAGCCAGGCTTGTTATCCAGTCCCAAGGTTACTCTGACATGGAATTTTTTATAAATCGCAGTATTGAAAGGCGCCTGGTCCCACTTCCTAATCTGCAATTCTCTACTCTGCTTGTCTGTTTCTTACTTGAGTGCTGTTTTGATATACCAAGTTAGGGTTTTACTGTAAGTTAAGTTTTTGCTAGCTTTGGCCTTCAGTACTAAATTTCTCTGCTGAATGAATTTTTTGCTGCCTCTGAGTGTTTTTTCCTACTCTGCTAACTATATGTCGGTCTTGGAGATCATTATGGAGGAGCAAGAATTGTGACCTAGAGCCCTAAACAGCCTCGACCCTGTAGCCCTGAAGGAGCGTCTCCACCCCCATCCTTCAGTCTGAACACTGAGGTCCTCCTCTGAGGGGCTTCTGCTGGTTCCCTCATTGTGAGAAGTGAGGGTACAGGGAACCAGGCAGAGGGCCTTCTGGGTGGTGGCACCCACCCTGTGGAACGCCCTCCCTTCAGAGGTCAAGGAAATGCACAACTACCTGACATTTAGAAGATAGCAGAAGGCAGCCCTGTATCTGGAGGTTTTTAATGTTTGACGTTTTACTGTCTTTTATGTGTACTGGAAGCTGCCCAGAGTGGCTGGGGAAGCCCAACCAGATGGACTACGTATACATATGCAGATGGACTACATTGTATAAATACTACAATCATTCTTATTACATTGTGATTTTTTGCAGTTATTTTGGAATTCATACTGCGAAATCAGATCACAAAATGTTATGGGTGGAGAAAATCACAGGGTTGTCGTAAACGATAATCCCACCCACAAACTCTCATTCACCTGTGCTAATACTGGCAGTCTTTGGCCTGCATAGGCACACCTTGTATGTAGAGTCTCCAGCCACAGGCACTGTCTATCATGAAAATGGGTCCTTTGACTGGGAAGATTCATGCAATCACTATCATCGGATTCTGATGGGTTGTATCTCAGCTTGTCAGTCACTCTGACACTGCCTTCAAAGAATAAGAGGAACAGAAATGCTTCCGACTTCTATATCAATCCTGAGAGCCATTCCATGGACTCTGCACCCCTGTTTCTGATGACAGGTGTACATTATCCTCAGCCTCAATGAACCAGGCAGTGGAAAAGACACTTAAAGATGGAAGCCTGAGAGAGAGGAAAAGGTTTCTGGCTGCTTCCTGGGTGGGATTGCGGAAACAAAGAGCCACTTCCGAGGGAGACGCCAAGGCGGCGCCTCGGGAGATTCCTCGTGGGCGCACGATGGAGACGTCTCCCTACTGACTGGTCTCCTCCTCCTCCCCCCCCGCCAATGCTGCGCTTCCTTCCCCAGGGATGCTCCCCTCCCTCCTCCCCCCACCCTTGGCCCCCTCCCTCTCTCCCGGAGTCTCCCCTGCACCCAGAGGCCCCCTTGGCGCGGCTCACCCCTCGCCATGCGCGACCCATCTCTCCATCCGGAGGGCCCCACAAGACGAGATGGGCAGGGACAGGGGGTCTCTATCTAGGCGTCTCTCGCTCCCCTTAACCCTTTCATGGTCTGCCTCTCCCCGCGCGGAGCGCACAGGGCCCCAGGGATGCCTGCGCGGGGGAAACGGGGCCAGGGAGTCCTCGTGGGACCCCGTGGGTGGGCGCCCCATGTCCACCCTTGCCAAGGAAAGCCCCCTTCGCAGTACATATTCAGGGATCCAGGCCCTGCCGGGAGAGCTGGAGGGGTTCTCTGGATCCTTTTCTCCCCTCTCCTCCCCCCCCCCACGACCCCTTTACCTCTTTGTCCTCGCTCCCGATTCTCCTTTCCTTTCCTGCAACATCGATGTTTCCTCCCCTGTCCGAAAGGGCGCGCCCCTAGAGCTACGGCGCAGAGCAGCAGCCGGGGTAGAAGAGCCACTTCCGGGAGAAGCAGCCAGTTTGGGAGGGGGCTCACACCCCTCATTCCTGGAACAGAAGCCGGATTGGAGGAGGAGGAGGAGGAGGAGGATCCTGACACTTTCAAAGGAGAAGCCCAGGGAAGACTTGCAGCTAGGGAGATGTGTAAATCCTGTTACGGTTCTTAGGGAAAGACTGTAGTTAAAAGGTGTGGGAAACTGGGGTGGGTGACAGGGGTGGGTGACGGGCTCATGTTTCTGAATGCCAAAGACTACTAATTTGTGACAAATCTGTAATGCATCGAAGATGCTGTTGAAAAATGTATTGTGGGAAATGGGGAGAGGTCTTAAAAATCCATGCAACCATCTTCTCGTGGTTCCTCCTCTTGGTGTGTTTGAACCTTGTTGCAACAAATAAAGATCAGGTCAACTGACCGCCGTTTGCTTCTTTAACTTGGCTGGATTCTCCTTCTTTTGATGACCGGAGGGACCCACGGAGAGTGGCACCCTGAGGAGCTGGGCAGCGGAGGAAATCCGCACCCCGGGATATTTTCCTTCTCAACTCTTTCCCACCTGAGCCTCACCCCTTTACCTAAAAGCCAGACACAACACAATGTGACAGGATTGTGACTCCTGCCCTCAGCAAACAAAATAGCTCCCCCCCCCCGGAGCAAAGCAACCCCGGGATGCTGAGGTCCCCCAATCCTTGAAATGAAAAGGGGGGGGCTCGGGAAACCCTCAGGGAGCAGGCGGGGAGGGGGCTGCCCAGGCTCCAGAAGCTCCTTCTCGCTGGTTCCTCCCCATCGCCCTCCTGCTGCCTGCCTCCCCTCCGCTTCTACTGGTCCTTCGCAAGTGCGGGGAAGCTCTAGTCCCTCCGCCCCCCCTCAAATTCCTTCTAAGAGCCCCACGTTGCACGGGGCAGGCTCACCCGCAGCGAAACAAAACGCAGCTGCCCTGGCAGATTGCAGCCAGGCTGGGGGGGCACCGTGGGGACCCCAGAAACGTGTCCCTAGAAGAAATGCGCCTCCCCCCTTCTCTGGGGCTCAAGTGCTGCCGGTGGGCTTCCCAGAAGAGGCCCCTGCTTGGCCCCTGAGAGGACAGGGGCCTCTTGGGCCTGATCCTACAGAACTTGCCTGATGTTCTGATGCAAGTGAATCCTCCTTTGTCCTTCAGGGAGAACAGGGTTTCCCAAATTTGGGTCACCAGCTGTTTTTGGACTACAGATCCCGCCATCCCAAGCTAGCAAGACTAGGGATGATGGGAATTGTTGGCAGGCCCTCCAGGTGGCTCTGGCAAGAGAGCCCAGCTACATGTGACCAGTGTGGGGAGAATTCCTTCCCGGATTCCAGAAGTGGGCATCACCTTTGAGTATTGGGGTCAGTGCCCCTATTCCTCCAGCAGGAGCGATTGTGGGGCTTCCTCGCCCGCTTCCATTCAGCTCCGCCATTCCCAAAGGGCAATTCTTCTTCAGCCATTGTGGGAGCAGAAGGGCTGGAAGCTGGAGCGGCTTTCCTTGGAGTAGGCTTTGCTTTTCTTTCTGCCGGACCGACCCCAAGCAATCAACGCCCTCTCTGCCGAAGGGCTTTCGCCATAGGGCCATGATTCATTTGGAAGGGCCGTCAAAGATGGATACGTGCGGTGAACCCAGCTGTAACACTCCCTTGGAGAGGAAAACATCAGAGCAAAAAAGGCCAAACACACAAAGAACGCCAGCCCAATCTAGATAATTCAATGATAGGACACTCCATTACGCCTTTGGCAGATCCAGAATTTCACCACTCTTTACCCCAGTTGGAATCTGATCAGCCAATGCCAAGTGACGCTCCTCCCAAGGGAAATGTGACACACAGAAAGCCAGAGACAGATTTAATTGTCTTTGATGAAGACCCCCCGATGGTCCCAGCAATTCAGATAACACCGTCGATGCCGGGAAATTGGGAAAATGCTGCAACTCAACCCCGAGAACAACAACCCCGTGCATATCCTAAGAACGGTTGCATCACTACCGAACCAGTGGGAGAGCTGATAACAATTTCCCCACCACCCCTCCATAACTTTTCCGCAGGGTTCCCTCCGCAGCACAGAAGGATGGGGGGAGGGAGGAACACGTACTAATAAACGAACACTCCTGTGAATGGAGAGAAGCACAAAGTGGAGTCCCCAATAGATCAGTATTGGGACCTGTGGCTTTTCAACCTGTTCATAAATGATCTAGAGTTAGGAGTGAGCAGGGAGGGGGTAAAGTTTGCTGGTGGCAGTAAATCGTCCAGGGTTGTTCAAACAAAGAGAGATTGCAAGGAGCACCTAAAAGAGCTCTCCAAACGGGGTGATTGGGCTGAAAATACAGTTCATTGTCAACGAGATTAAAGTGATGCATGTTGGGGGGCAGGGAAACACCCTCTTAATATCATGTGCAGGATCATGGGGTCTGAACCAGGTTTCTCTGTGTGCTCTAGGAGACCAGGGGAGAGGGAGCTGGTCGCAGCAGGAGGGGAGTCTCCCTGGATGCTTCAGTAGCCGGCCTCCTCTGGGTCTTCTGGCCCCCCTCCTCTCCTCCCTCTGAGCCTGAACTGCTCTCTGCCCCAGCCTCTTCCTGCTCACCAAACCCTGTTTCCTCCTCAGCTTGCAACACCTCCCTTCCATTCTGCTCCCTTTTCCCTCTCTTTCTGCTCATTGCCATCCCACCACCAGCCCCCAGGCTCTGAGCCTTCTTCCCTTGTGGGTCCCCCGGCTGGTGCCTCCCCCCCCCCGCACCCAGCCAGTCCATGACAGTAAAAGCAGAAATAACAGTAAAATCAGTATGATGGTAATATGCACTGTGGTCCTCTGGTAGGAAAACTCCCTAGCAGCATGATTGAATAATAACTTCTGGGACTATGGAAAAGTATTATCTTCTCCAAACCCCCAGAATAAGCAGGAGCTCTAGGGTTGCCCCATGGGGTTCATGATTGAAGATGGGTCCCCCAGGAGACTTCCCTCATACCTACAGCCCCACCTTCCCTTTCTTGAAACTAGGCTTGGGGGGGGATCTCCCATTAAATTTTAAGTTTTCTTCAGAACGTGCAGAGGGCAGGGATGAATTTCTGTTGAAGATGATGTGTGTAGAGATCGTGCGGTGGTGGGGTGGCAGAGTTTGGTGCAAAACGGTCTTGCATGCTTGAGAAGAGTAACTCCAGGGCATGAGCCAAGTAGCAGCAGGGTAGGGGCCACGTTTATTTCAAGTCCCACACTGAGGTGAAAAACACACACAGAGGCAGCAGGACTTCTTCAGTAACAGTTTACTGAGCTTTCAAAGCATACAGTTCTCACTGGGTCCCCAGTGAGGCACAAAACTTAGCTCCTGAGAGCAAATCCAGTTTCAGCAGTAAAGTCATACAGCATACAGGATATCTAAGCCAGGCACACACACCGGCAGAAGGGAGCAAGGGAGGAAAGAGGCTGGAAGGACACAGGGCAATGGATGTGTGTCTTTCACTTCCCGTCATCTTGGAGAGAAGTCAGCAACTCAGCATCTGCAGGGGCTTCACGAAGAAAAGCTTTCTGCTGCTGCTTGCAGGCACATCCCAGAAGCACACACTGTGATTCACAGTGTATTGCCATATCAGTTGTTCTTCAAAGGTTATCGAGATGTGGTCTAGAAACCAGTATTGGACCAGATATCAATATATCGCCCAGCCCTAATCCTCACTCACCACCAGCAAACCAGATTCATCCTCTCTATCAAAAGGTACTTTACATCTTAGATTATACTCACATTGTTTGACATTGCCTTCAATATTTCATTGCTGTTCAGTTTTACATATAAACACAAGAACTTCAAATACACATCGTGTGTTTAAGACTGATTTCCTGCTGAGTTCATTGCTGTGAAGAAAGAGTGGACACTGAAAGGAAAACGTCCCGCACTCCATACATCTAAATGGGTTCTTCCATGGGAAAGTCCCTGGATGTTCCTTAAACACTCCATTGTAAATAAAGCACTTTTTGCAATCTTTTCATTTAAACTGCTTCTCAAACCCCAGAATAAGCAGGTTGACCCATGGGGTTCATGAGTGAAGATGGGCCCACCAGGAGACTTCCCTGGTACCTGCAGCCCCATATTCCCCCTCTTGAACTTAGGCTGGGGGGGGGGAAATCTCCCATTGAATTTCAGTATTTCAAGTTTTCTTCAGAACACGCGGGGTCAGGGATGAGGTTCTGTTGAAGAAGAAGTGTTTGGAGATCATGTAGTGGTGGGGGTGACAGAGTTTGGTGCAAAAACCATCTTGTGTGCTTGAGTACAGCAACTCCAGGGCATGAGCTAAGTAGCAGCAGGGTAGGGGCCACGTGTAGAGCAAGTGCCACACTGAGGTCAAAAAGATACACAAAGGCAGCAGGACTTCTTCAGTAATAGTTTACTGAGCTTTCAAAGGCTACAGTTATGACTGGGACCCCAGTGAGGCACAAAACTTAGCTCCTGAGAACAAATCATTCATATGGTTTCTCCCCTGTGTGAGTCAGTTGATGTCTTCTAAGGGTTCCATTATCACTAAATCTCTTTCCGCACTCCATACATTTAAATGGTTTCTCCCCTGTGTGAGTCTTTTGATGTCTTCTAAGTTTTCCATTATCACTAAATCTCTTTCCGCACTCAATGCATTTAAATGGTTTTCCCCCTGTGTGAGTCAGTTGATGCATATTTAGGTGTCCACTCTGACTGAATTTCCTTCCGCACTCCATGCATTTAAATGGTTTTTCCCCTGTGTGAGTCCGTTGATGTCTTCTAAGGGTTCCATTATCACTAAAGCTCTTTCCACACTCCATACATTCATATGGTTTCTCCCCTGTGTGAGTCCGCTGATGTGTTCTAAGGGTTCCATTATTACGAAAGCTCCTTCCACACTCCATACATTCATATGGTTTCTCCCCTGTGTGAGTCCGTTGATGTGTTCTAAGGGTTCCATTAT